AAACAAATGTAATGTAAAAATATATAATTTCGTGAAAATCTGAACTTTTAGTTCTTATTTATTTTGAAAAATGGCATTCAATAATAGGAATTGCTCACTCCTAGTAGAAACACGCCCACTTTTCCTTGGGTTTTCGATTCTATCGCGGTCCAAAATAAATTTCCATTTTGATATGGGCGGTGCCAAAAGAATTATTTAAAAAGATAATAAATACGTAGAAATGCTCTATATCTAGTTTAGAAATTTAGAGATTTTCCATTATTTTCTTTCTTTCTTGAAACTTCAATTGCAACCACTCTGTACACAAGCGTCATGTTCATTCAGAGTTGGCACATCCTAATTCGGCCATTTTCACCATCGAACCCAAAAACTTTGAACATCTAATTCGCCGTTTAAAAGTCGTTTTGTCTCTGAACGCCGGCAATTTACCGTGAAAGTGACTGAACGAACGTGAAAATAGCTCAAACTATTCTCATATCAGGAACGAGTCTACATCTCGCGATCTAATGTTTGCTCGGGGAAATCGATAATACACGAAGGCTTGGGAAACGCGAAATTTCCGTTTTATAACTCGCGAGTGTTTAGCCGAGAGTGTAGTTTACATACGAGACGACGACGAACAGAAAACAACATTAATCTTCTTTGCCTCTCTCTTCGTCGTCGTGTAAACAAAATTTTATCGCTAAGGGTGACGCGTGTCTATCACAGACGAGTCGTGGGGTTCGTTCAGCCGGGAAGGTATGAAAATAGGTTACGTTCGCATCGTTCGGAAAGAGGCGACAAACGCAAACAAATTTCTATTGATGAGTAATTCATTATGTGGAGTTTTGAAATACACGTTTCCGATACATTCCGACGTTTTTTAGACCTAAAATTGTACAATTTAATTTTAGTTTTTAATTTGAATTTTATTGTTGTACAGTTACTTCACGTATAGTGAAGTAATCAAAAATGATCCGTATATCTTAGCTATATTGCTACCAACACATTCAGTAATGAACCAAATAAAGATGTCATGCTATGACGTTACTGCAAAATTGCTCTGACTGGACTTTCCAGAGCAATTTCAACCGACATCTGCCTGAGTGGCCTGTCGAATATGAAGTTACTTCTACTTTTCTCAATGGCAGACACAACTGTTATTCACCGTTATGCTACGACAATGAACTCGATTTAAAATTGAATGGGCCGGATAATTCAGCCAATATCGATTCAGTGGGGCAAATTTTATTGAAAGGGAGACGAATAGTAACGAATATTCTTTTCTTTGTCATACACGTTAATGTTAATGGCAGATAAATGTAAAAAGCGGTTACTTTAACTTTCTTTAAAGTTTTTTCTTGTTTGAAATAAGCAGTTATAATATATTTTGAATATTTTCAACGGTGACAATCTTGTGTAATACATTATATACTACTAATAATTTCGTACTGGGGATAATAAATCAACATTTATTAAAATGGTAAAAAGAATATATTTTTTTGGGTGAGTAAAGCATTTGCACCTATTGCATATTACCAAAATATTACATGATTTGATTTGGTTTATATATAAATAAAAATTTATGGTTGTTAGAGTAGTTATAAAAATAAAATATACGAATACGATTATATGTATATTAAGAATTTTCATGTGAAAATAGTAAACTTAATTTTATCATTTGTATACCTAGTTATGTCAAAAATTTTAATAATAGATTTTTTTCAATTTTCAAATATAAAAAATATTAAAATGTACATATTATAATACGAGCGCATTCTTAAAATCAATACCCTGAAGACAATACATACTGTTATTTTTTGACCAATACGGGCGGGGCTAAAGGAGGCGCAACACCTTCGTGAGTGAACAAAAACCGACGCAGGAGGAAACCAGAAGTTTCATAAAAAGTATTACAGTAGTAAACCTCTCAACACGGACACCTCTCTTAGGCGGACATGTTTTTTGGAACGAAATATTTGCCTACCTTTTTACCTGTAAAACAAACTCATTTAACCGGACATTCCATTAAACGGTCGCGGACCGTCCTGAGTTCAAAAAAATACCTCTCTTAAACGGCAGTGAACCTCCACTCCAGGACAACGTAATGCTAAAATATCGGCGAATTACCTTTTTCATTTTTCATATCACATCGTATTATTCATTATGCCGTGACTTGCAGTTTTATTTTGCAAGCAAATTACACAATTTTTAAAGTTGCATCTACTAAAAAACTTCTTACTTTGGGAGAAAAAATGGAAATTGTTACCGTTTCGGAAAAGGAAAATTTGTCAGTGCGGAAGCTCGCAGAAAAATTTAAAATCCGGAAAACTCAAGCGGCGGAAATTGTAAAAATAAGGACAGCATTCGTCTACAGTGGGAGTCGGGAAGCAATATCGATGAAAAAAGAAATGTTGTAAAAACTGATGGATTTGAAATTGACAAAATGTGTTTTGATTAGTTTTCTCGGTTGCTAGGTCAAAACATTCCACTATCGGGGCACTTAATAAACTCCAAGGCTCAAGAAATAGCCGAAAAACTTAATGTTCGAAATTTTAAAGCAAAATGACGTAAATCAGTTTGAGGATAAGTTGCCCACACTACTCTTCCCATATCAGCCACACGATGTTTACAATGCCGATGAGGCTGGCCTTTCGAGTTTTACCTAACAAAACATTCGCTTTCAAATCCGAAAAATGTAGCGGTGGAAAGCTTTCCAAGGAGAGGCTTGCAATTTTATTTGTGCTAATATGGCATTACAAAAAGAAGATTTGCTCGTCATTAGAAAGGCTGCCCGACGTAGGGCATTTAAAAATGTAGCAATTAAAAATTTACCGGCAATATGGAAATTTAAAAAAAAATTGGATGCCACGAGACATTATGAATGAATGGTTGTTACAATTGGATAGAAAAATGGCCTTACAAATGAGAAATAAATTATTATTCTTGGAAAAGGCAGCATACAAATACGACATCAGTATATCAACCTCTAGATCATGATATCAACCTCTAGAGAATGTTAAATTCTATTTTCGTGGACTCATACTGAAGCACATTTTATCAAAGATGGATCAAGTAATGGCCGCGTCAGATTTAGCAAAGTCTGTAAATATTTTAGAAGTACCTTTATTTTACTAAGTCAGCCTGGAATAAAGTTTCGTCAGAAATCATACAAAATTGTCTCAACAAAGCTGGTTTTCAAAAAAATAACGATTTTTCTACATCAATAGATTGGGATCCAGAACATAATATCCCACTATCTGCGATAATTGAAATTGAACGATGTGTTAGAGAAATGAACCTAACACAAGAAACTCTTGGAAATTATGGACTTAGTAGGCTAGTTTGAACATCGAAAATACAATTGAAAACATGAAAGAACCTGAACCGGAAAAAGACAGCTATCAAGAATATGATAGTGGGGAACCTAGCACAATTAACAGCTATATTGAAGCCTTAAAAATAATTACAGATCTAAAAGTTTTTGCTATTTGCATTTCAAAACCTTAAAAATTTAGGATTTAGAATTAGGATCTTAGAGTTTATTATATGTTTGTAAAGACACAAAATATATTTACAATTTATGTTGTATTTTTTCATGCACCTCTAATAAGCGGACAAGGAGGAAACGTGAGTGTCCGGTTACGGGAGTTTTCACTGTACTGTACTGTACTTCTGTAAAAATTGTATGGGTAAATAAAGTATTTAATCAGTGAGAATGAATGAGCAAGAGAAAGACAAGAATCCCCATTACTAGTCGTCTTCTTTTACTGCCAGAATTAGTCTCACATTTCTAACACGCCTCGCCAAAAAAAATCTGTTTCATATTTAATCAAACGGCGGAAAATTTGCCTTTACGAACGCTTATTGGATATTGCTTTGAGCAATCAATTGCTTTTAAAATGACGCCTTCAAAGAAAATGCGCCTAGATTTTAAACACCACACCAGACCTGTAAATAAATATTAAACAATAGTGATTTTTTTTTTAAAATATGCTGGTGCTTACAACTTTTTAAGTTAGGTAGAAATAAGAAGGAAAAATATAGTATGGACATTTTTTTTTAATATACGCTAACTTGTTATTTTATACCCTTCACCGCTCTTTTATTAAAAATGCTTGTTTTCATGATGTTCTAAAAAATTTAATATATTTATTATTTAAATTACGATCTAACTATAGCATAATGCGATCGTGTACTATGACTGAATCATGTGTGTGTATGTATAAAGTACACACATTTTGTTAACTTCAATCTAATGTTTAATAGTTTAAACAATGGAAGAGTGATTGTATGAAACAAAATACAAATAAGTGCCAATTAAAAATACATGGGCATACAAATAAAATTTTACGTATAGAAACAACTTTTTTGCATTAAGTCGAAAACAGTTCATTAGGAAAAGCCTTTTATACTCCAAAAGAGTTATTTAGAACACAGCGTTTTCTCAGTTGTTGTGCGCTCTGATAGCAGCTAGCGAATTTGGAGTACCGAATTTGTAGTTGAGTTGATTATAATTATATCGCTCGGAGATCTATCTTTCCGCTTCCGTTGTGTCCCGAATCAGAAATAAACGAGAATTGAGTTTTGCAAGTTATGTAGATGGATTAACGATTTATTTCTTTAGGCACCATGAAACAATATGCTTCTTAGTGAAGGTAAAATTCATTAAAGCTGTTTCTTTTAATATATATAGTATATTTTTAATTTAATGTGGTTATTTGTCAATGTGAACTTTTAGGACATCCAAAGGCTATAGACCAGTTGGCTTAGGGACGGTTGCACCAGCATAAAAAACACAGTACAAATTCCTTTTATATTGAGAGTAATGAAAAATACAAAATTTTAAGAACGTGGAAAACTAGCTATAGTTTTCCAGATTAGACTCTCTAATCACTGTTTTATCACACCATCCTTTTCAAAGAGGTAAATATATATAAACACAAATAATATTCCACCCCTAAAAAAAAGGCATGGTTTGTAATCGAGATTGATGGTGCTAGGCAATGACAACGATTTACCTATGTAATCGGGGCGGACTGCGACTGTCATCAGAGCCACTGTCACGCAAATCGCGTTCACAAACCGCCAACAGGAACGTGTTTTTCCGGCCATGAGCACCGCGCGTTTTCTTCCGCTCCGGAACGTTTCCGCATACCGACTGAAGTTTAATTCCCGAACGAAAACTTCGCGCGTAACTTGCGGCGGCGTTGCCAAACCTATTCGGATGGAAATATTTTCCAAGCGACAGCGTCACCAAGAATTCATTGCGTACCACTATAAATAAATAAATAAACATGAATTATGTAACTATTAGATAATATAGTCGACTTAGTACAAAAAAAATTGATGCGCTTCTGGCAGTTATGATGTTTTTGTAGACATGGGAGTAATTTTTCACGTTCACGTTCTATCTGCGCGCTGTTCCATTTTCTCTTTAAACAGCGAGGTCCACACACTTTAATCATTTTCGCAGAACATTTGATAAGATCGGCAGTAAAACCTGTCGAATTGACGAACTGTTAGCAACCATGTTGGTTATTGAACGCCACTAGATCTTATGGGTTGAAAATGAGATTTTAAATTCTAAAGGGTTTTCCAATAAGAGATGTTATTTTGATATGTTGTAAAGAATGTAAAGAGGAAAGTGTGCTATTAATAATGATCAACCAAATGGCGACCACGGCCAATTTTCCAGCACCAAATCGCAAAGTGGCTGCTGTATGCCCTCAATAGAATTTCATCTTTAAGTTTTGGACTCGACCCTTGTCTTTAACACGCCCCCAAACGAAGAAGTCGCAAGGTCTCGGAGGCCAATTACCTCTATGAGAGATAACACCGTTCGGAAACTTTTCCCGTAAAAGATCGATGGTTTCGTTGCTTGTGTGGCACCGTCCATGAACTTTATAAGCCTTAACACTCAAGTATTTGTACAAAATGCGGTATAATGACGTTTGTCACGTCACGTAACGATGAGGAATGGACAAACTTGGGTTTTCTCTAACACGTTGGGCTTCAGCAGCAATATTCTTAGTTGTTCTTGAGCAACGTGCACGGGATTTATTCGAATTTGTCCACCAATTTCTGTATTAAGGACCGAAAATTTTTCACCATTTTTATAGTGAATTTTAATAATTTTAATGCATTGTTGAAGCGTTTATCGTTCCGTTTTTATTAATGGCGTAGTTTCTACTTGTCAAAATCTACTGAAATATTCAACTATTCAAAACAACTCCTCTTATCGGAAAAGCCTTTATTAATTTTTTTCATCGTTGCTTTAAAAATTACTATATTATCGACTGCATTTAAAAGGGCCTCTATATATAAAGTATAGTATAGATATAATTAAATAGTCTTCTATTGCCAACAGGCAAACACTCAAATTCGATTAAAAAATACGAATGACTAACTTAATCATAGAATAACACTAGCACTAATAAGGGAACCCTAATGATAATCGATATTAAGAGTAGATATTATTTGATTAACCGAATCGGAAATCAGGTCGTTTAAATATGCAATAGAATTAATTGTACTGCACACAAAAAGGACTTTACCTCATTATATTGGACTCTACTGTGCTGGGGTAGGAAGTGAGCGCATGCCTTGCCACAGGCCTTGATTCGAGACCAGACGAGACTCCAGATATATACCATATATAGGATTTCAAATGAATACACCATAGTGATATTTAGACCGAAAAAAACTATATAACATTTTTATAGTACTAATTTCTCTGCTGTTTCTTTTCACAAATACCTAGCTATAAAAGTAAGTTTAGAATATGAAGGCCTTAAATATTGTGAAATTGTCACAGAAGATCCACATCACTCATACACTTTTTGTCATTTTTTAAAAAACAGCGATCTTTACACACTTAAATCGATTTCCTCATAAGTGGCCCAAGCCACGCACCGATACCCAGCCCTCTCTGAGGCCATGTTGTTAGTAGATTTTTTTTTGTTAATATCAGCATAGGTAACACTTGCTCCATACTAAAACGGCGCAATTTCCTAAAATTTTCTAATGTCGCGGTAGACCTATCTATTGCGCTTCTTTTCATGATAACAATATTATGATTACTATTATATTTAAATATATATAATATAATATATTAAAAATTTAGTTTTTGATATAAGTTAAATATAATCAATAAAAGTTGTTGATATCGTTAAAAAATCAGTCCCATCCCAATCCACTGGTTTTTTTTGTGGATAACGCTGTGCTTTTCTAAACCTTTAAGGGGTTTCTGCTACCGAACCGTACTTTGCTAGTTTACGTTTACAAATCATGACTCATCAATAAAAAATAAAACAGGAAGCTAGGAGATCGACGTGAAAATTTGCACAAAATTGTTCATTGGGGGGAAAGTCCGACCTTGGACAATAATAGCAACCCGCTGTTCATCATTTGTTCACTCTTCGAAACTCCCAAAACCAACAAATCGTGTTAAAATTTGTTTAAAATGTATTATATCATTTCAGTCAGAAAACTTTCCGCCGTTTCTGACATAGGGGTGGGTGGGGCCTCAAAAATTAACCAATATGTTTTTGAGTTCTTTCTTCTAATAATTATAAATTCTGGTTATTTATAGATTTTTAGTCCTTTGCGTAATAACAGGGGTAAAAAGGACAGCTTAAAAATTCTGAAAAAAAAGCTAATCAATATTATTATAACCGAATCATAATTAATTTATTGAAAGTGTTATTTATTGGATAATTCTATGTATTCAGCCTTAAACCAGAGCTTTTGAAAATCTTATAAATAACAATAACAAATTTTTTAATCTATAGGAAAATGTTGCCAATCAGTAATGTTTTTTTTTTAATTAAATGCTTTTTAATAAATAACTATAATTATTATATATAACTTTATAAATAAGGGAGAGTAAGGTAAGGCAGCCAGAAGCTTCGCCAAAATTTGGGAAAATTTAGTTAAAGTTAGTCAAAAATAAATCGACTTGATGATTAAAAGCCATAAAAAATAATAAAAAGCTTAAGTGGGCCGCCTTGCCCCACCCACCCGTATAATTCCAGTATTTGACTTATTTCTTTATCTTTATCTATATCTTTACTTTTATTTCATTTATTTCATTTGTTCAAGCCAAAATGTTTTTACAAATACATAATATCAATTTAGATATTTGGCACGTATTTATTATTATATTATTATATTAATATTAATAAAATTAAAGGACCCTCCGATCTCGTTAAAGAAAAATTACCCCAACACGTGACACCACTCTGGTTTTCGAGCTGGCAACATGGAACGCTTGCGTAAAATGGGGGAAATTTGTGTAACGTGGTCAGTGATGTTTACGTTTATGTACGGTTGCGGTTTCAGAAGTGGTCGAGCTCGGAGGGATAAAGTGCGGCGTAAGGCAGTTTTGATGTTTATATTTGCGGGCTTCGTACACCCGAACGGGGGCGTGATTTGATTACATAAACGGTTAGACGGGCGTTTAATGAATTTTTGGAGAAGCTCGAAACGGCCTCGTCAAATTTGGCGCCATGCGTCCGGATTACGAAAAGATCAGTAGAAGCTTTATGTCCCTCTTTACCATAAGTTGGACGACTTCTAGAAGAAAAATATACAGATAAGGAGTTACATTTGCTTAAAGTTTCGAGTCGGGAGCTTTCTCTGTTTTAGAATTCCGGACACGTAGGAGTGCATTCAGATATCGCACGAAGCTTTGCGAGGATATTAAAAAATGATTTGTTTCCTGGCTGACAAGGTTCGCAAACTGGGGGCTTCTGACAACGATAGTGTTTAATAATCCCGAACTAGTACCCGTACTTGTAAAATGTACTTTATTAAGCCAATATAATGTCGTAAAATTACAATTAGAATAAAACTAAAATGTTTACCATAATCTGAAGAATAAGGATAAACTACATGTCACATAAGGTTTGTTAAATAATTGCAAATGTGGGCGCCCTGAAAAATAGTAAATATAAAGTACAACGTTACACGGGATTTAATTTAATAAAAAATGGTTTATAATAATTATTATTATTATCTATCTAAAGGTTTAAAGTTTGCGTCAACACCAGGAATCTGAATATTCATTATTATCTCTCCCTAGCTTACCCTGAAGAGCTTACCAAAGTTCTACCTACGCTTTTGCAAAATTTGTGCTTTCATTACGTACCCATTAAAGTGAAAAAACTTTGACTTTTCTGTTTCCTTTTTTGATATACGATTCGAAATTCAAAATTTGAAGGTTGTTATTCATATAAAAGTGAAAAAAGTAAAAAAAATCACATGAATAGTAAACATCAACATCTAAAAACTAACTAAATGTTTTGCCTTTAAAAAAAAAACAATCTGTCAAACCAAAAATTTTTCAGAATAATTTGAGAAGGATCGACATCTATCTTGGACACGTGACTGCCTTTCCACCGTCCACCGACAAGTTAACACCTGTTATAAAACCTGCTCCGTCACTGGCGAGGTATACGATGGCGCTGGCAATTTCCTCGGGTTTTCCCACCCTCCCCATCGCATGTGTCGTTTTGCATCTTTCCACGAACGCTTCGTATTGTTCCCTGCTCATTCCTGATTTTAGGTAAAAGTCTGTCGCGATGACTCCTGGATTTACGGAGTTCACTCGGACGTGTTTAGAAGCTAATTCAACAGCTATGCACCTGAAAAGTAGGTTTCAAGTCAGATGCGTCTATTATGTATCTCTATGTATATCACAATATTTACAACATATTTATAACATTCGTTCGTTTTGATGAATAAATGCACTTTTACAAAACTTGAAATGTGTTAGCTTATAGCAAGTGTCAATTGATATTGGGTTAACTGCATTAGTCACTAATCTTATATACATGAGAAATTTGTTACTTTCAAAAAATCGATAAACGATGCCAACGAAACCCATCTCTCGGAAACGGTGCGCCGTACAGTGCCATTAGTGCAGGTGGCATCAGCGTCGAAAAAAAAAAACGTTATGTTTTTGTCTGTCCATTTCTCTGTTTTCTGTTTTCCACTTCTCTGTAGACAGGGCATTAATTAGCTATAACTTTCGACCAGTTTGCCAAATTTGAAGGCTCCTTTTAAGCAGTGTATGAGACACATAAGCCAATAAAAAATGGCCGTGATCGGACCCCGGTGACCATTTTTTTTTCGAAAAAAATTGTTTATCAAAAGATCCAATGCCATAAGCTTTTATTCTTGGCAATTTTCAAAAATGTACAAGGTATGGCCAGTATTCGCAAAAAACTGAAAATGGGGTTTCTCTTTTAATGAAAATTGACCATCACTAGAAGACTGCGATTCAGAAGTCAATTTGTTTTACACCAAAATCTAGCTCGTGTAGCGAATTAAGACATTTGCCTTCAAGGTTTTTACCTATTGTACAGGGTGTTTGCGATATATCGTGCAATATTATTAAACGTAATAGACGCCCTAAATTTGCAGCTACATACTTCAGATTTAGCAGAGAAGCAGAAGTCCGAACCCAAATTTAAACCATTATAGTTAGGTGCGATCAAGTACCGCAAAGTATATTTAAAAAAAAAATAATTTTTTTGGGGTTATTTTGGTTTCCAGAAAAAAAATATTTTCTTCAAAACTATTATTCCAATCGACAAAATTCTTTAACCACCATTCTTTAACCTTTGATAATATATAAAGGGTTTTTAAAGTTATGGATAAAAATCTAAAAGACCCTGAAAATTGTCCGTTTCCAGAGTAAATAATGAGTCGTAAATCAATATTTTTAAAAAACATGGCTAATTGGTTTAAACAGTGTTATAGGCCACATCGAGAGCAACAATTTTCGTCTATCACATCCTTTGTTCAAGATATTTGAAAAAATCCAAATGAAAATCACCATTTCTCGCCTTCAATTTACACGCGATGACGTCATTTAAGCTTACGACGCCTGCATGGTTTCCGAAAACAAGTACTTTCTTGAAAACTATTTATTCTACGGGAAAAATTCATATACCTCCATTTCGAAATTTAGAAAATTGTTTGAAGTATATACAGGGTATGTCGTTTATGGGCAAGAAATCTAAATTATTGGCGATATATGAATGTTAGAGATGGGCTAATTTGATTTGATCAGAATCGTAAAACCTATTGTACAGGGTCTTCCCGATATTCCGTGCTATATGAGAAATATGTTAAGTGTCCTAATTTCGCAGATATCGACTTCAAATTTAGCAGAGAAGTAAAAACCCATGCCTACATTTAAACAGTAGAAATTGGGTGCAACCAAATTTCACGAAGTATTTTTTAAAAATTTTTTTGTTATTTTGGCTTTCAGAAAAACATGCTTTTCTCCATAACCATTCATCCGATCGGCAAAATTGATTAACCAGCGGATGCGGAAGATCCAGTGGTATAACATTTATTTCAGGTATTTTTTGGTTTTCCAATTATAGACAAAAATCTAAAAGACCCAGAAAATTGTTCTTTTTCAGAGTAAATTATCAACCGCAAATCAAAAATCGTAAAACATAGGAGAGCTACAATTTTTGTGTTTGCGGTTTTCGTCTATCAAACACGCTGCTCAAGATATTTGAAAAAAATCCATATGAAAATCACTATTCCTCGGATTCAGTCAAGAAGCGATGACTTCATTGATTGTTAAGGCGCACTGCATGGTTTCAGAAAAAACTTATTTTCTCGAAAACCGTTCAATATTTTGGAAAAATTCTTGAACGAGGAAACGTGAGAGATCCAAGGCTATAACGTCCATTTTCTTTTTTTGCAATTGTGTACAGGGTGTGTTGATTATGGGTAAAAAAATCGAAAACATCCAGAATTTTGCCGTTTTCGTGGTTAAATTATTAGTCGTTAATGAAAAACCATAAAACTTGGAATAATTTTGTTTAAACAGTGTCGTAAACCGTATCGAGAGAGCTTCAGGCTTCATCGGTCATACAGGGTGCGCAAGATTCTTGGAAAAATATCATTGTAAATCGTTAATACTTGTACAATTTTTACATTTATCAAAGTTTGTCGTGACTTTAAGGTTCGACGATACTTGAAATACGCTTTAAATGTAGATAAACAACAAAAATAAATCCATTTTGCGAAATTTCCATAGCGGTCCGTAGGAGCATGATAAAAAAACGATGCCTCCCTCTAGCACAAGAAACCGCGAAGCGGCTTGTTTTTGAAGAACTTGCCCCGCCCAGTGACGGTTTTTCGAAAGCAATCTTGTTCAAATCTACTTTAGTCTGATTAGTTAGTATGATTTAGGTTTAGGTGTTTTTGGACTAAAATTGAGGAACCTTTATTCCATTACTTACCTGGTAAATTGGTCCAAGGTAGCTTTAGAAACACAATATGCCACCATGCCAGTCATCGCTCTAATTCCAGTCAAACTGCTGACATTGACGATATTTCCTTTAGTTTTCACCAAATGGGGAACCGCCAGAGTGGTCAAGTGGAAAACAGACTTGACGTTTACGTCCATCACCCTGTCGAACTGTCCCAGAGTCGTGGTTTCGATCGACCCGCTTTCCCAAATACCCACGTTGTTCACCAAAACGTCCAAGCGACCGAATCGTTCGATTGTTTTGTCGATCATCGCTTTTCTGTGTTCTTCGTTAGTTATGTCTGACGGCATAATTATTACGTGAGTTTTTTCGCATTCTTTTACCACAGCGTGCAAGTCTTCGTTACTGGACCCCTGAAGAGTCATGGACGCTCCTAGCTTAGCAAATAGTATTGCAGCGGCAGCGCCTATGCCGCCACCGGCTCCCGTTATCACTACCACTTTTCCATCGAATTGCCTTTTCGTGGCTTCCATTTTCACTGTTGTCGATTGAATCAAAACATTACAACTGTGTGGAATTGAAAGTAAATGCGACTTTGTTGGTGTCTCGCAAATCAAACTCCGTATCAGCACGATACTTTATCTAGGAGATTAGTCGACATAAACCACATTTTAGATTAGACAAGATTATTTTAATTGTTGAGAAACAAACACCGTGAATACGCGGTGCAGTCGATTTGACAAAAGTACCACTGATTCTGATTGCTTACGTTGGAAAGCTTGGATGCATAAAGAGAAATATCATCGAAATGAACTAAATATATTAAAAGAGTAGCAACCTTAAAAATAAGCATATGAATGAATAGGAAAATTACAATCGGAAATCACATGGTCTTCTATAAATTGGCTTTCTTGGGAGAATAGCAAAAATTCCATACGTAGAAAATTAAATCTCCGCTTAAATTAGTAAATATCTTAACAATAAGGGCAATTCATAAACTACCTCGGATAAATAGAAAAATTCTTTATCTTTTCGCCATGATAAGAAATAAGGCGGAGTTGTCTATTGTCATTCCTTGTAAACTAACGTTGCTGGTTGATTTACTTGTCTATTACTACCATAAAATTTTGACATCCAAGATAATGAATTAACGATAGGATTCAATGCTTTTTTTGGTTAATGATAATTATACTTGAAATAGAATTAAGATATCTCAGTCATAAAATATAGAAAATATAGGACAGGAAGATCTGGGCCGATTTTTTGTTGTTGTAGAAAATTCACGATTTTATAAATAATGTGAATCGAAATTTAAATAAAGGAAAATTGGGTTCCTGAGAGTTGGTCAGGATCATTATATTTGAACTTTTAATATGCTTGAATGGGAAAGGCAACAAAGGAAAGATTCTATAAATATTTTAAATCATCTTTGACAAAAAAAATCTAATCTTGTTATGCGAATTATTTTATTGCTTTTTATAGCTTTTTCCCATATTTATATGTCTTTCTTCACTTTATAATACGACTAGGGCTAACTATTTGTTAACCGCTCAGTACAACATGGTCTTATTTTATGACATAGCAGCAAATCATAAGACTAAAATTTGTTATATTTTTGGAACAATAAATCATATAATTGTTATATTATATTCATACCTAACTTACATACTAATAACGTTTTTATAACGATAATATTGTTCTTAAAATGAAAGTGGTAATTTCTTACTTAATGAAACGAAAATCGAGAAAAAAATTATTTTGGATTTTTCATTTCAAAAATGAAAGCTTAAAAAAAACAGGATTTTTATTATTCCTCTAAATATCTGATTATCAGACATAGTTTCAAAACGGGCCGATTGGTTATGAAAATTCAAGTCACAAACTCTCTTCAATTTTTACGAAAAAACTTTTTTTTGACCATTCTCAAAAAAAACATCCAGAAATAAAACTTTCAATTATCCCAAATCATTTCAATAACTTAGCACAAAATTTTATGAATTAATTTTATATAATTTATATTTATATATTTAACTCAGTAAATTCCAGGTATAACCCAAATATTTTAGTTCTTAGGGGTTTCTAGTGGTTTAATATGGGTTTTGATGATTTGATAAGTAACTCCCGCCTCCCTCTTGCTTTAACAAAACTAATTTTGTCAAATGGTCCTCGTACACCATAATAAACTTGAACCCATTGTCTTGCTGTAACTGCATATATACAGGTTTCCTTGGGCCCACAGAAAAGTATTAATAAATAATATATTGTCATAGTAGCAATCATATTTTATGTATTTTCTTGAAGTTTCGAATGTCAATTTGACTTGACTTCTCTGTCCTCCTTCCAGCAGGAAGATACTATCCAATAGGTTTCGTTCTGAGAGCCAGTTTTCTGGTTTCGTTAACCTCAATAATTTGGAATCTTTTTATCTTTTATATTATAACAGTTTAACGGTTGTCCGCCAGTTCTGCTTCCTGTATTTCGGTCATTAATTTATTATACACGTCTCCTGACATAGCAGTGGAGTTACTTTCTTTTCGTGTTATTCTATTTGAAAAATCTTTTCCAAAAATCGCTGTTTCAACTAGTAAAATTTAACACGTACAAAATATCGAATTTTAACTAAGATCATCAGACTTATTTTCGCTAGTCTATAATTAACATATTTGTCTCCATCTGATATTATTTTTTTATAAAGCCTGCCAGTCCTGCACTTTTATTTCCTTCGGGTCATTTTGAACAGCTTCAATCCATTTTGTCCGCGGCCTACCTCTACCCCTTCTTGCAGTTATCCTCCCGCTCAGGATTTGCTTAGCAAGACGTTCATCTCCTTGTCTTGCTGCTTATCCCCCTTAATCTTTGAGCTCTTGCAACGTTTGTTATGAATGGTTCTCCATAGAGCGCTTTATGCTCCATATTAGTCTTTCCGCCAAATATTCTTCTCAACACTTTCCTTTCAAATACTTCGTACGCTTTCGTCTCCCTTTTGTTGAGCTTCCATACTTCACATACATCCAAGGCAATAGGCTTAATCATCGTTTTGTACACCCTTTTTTTTGAGACTCCTTGACAAGTTCCTTGCTCTTAATATGTGATATAATCCACCCATACATTTCATACCTTTTACTATCATTTCTTGAATTTCATGCTTTTCTTCATAATTTGCTGCTATCCCTAAATAATTAAATTTTTTTGCTTTTCGAAAATAATGTTCGCTATTCTCTGTTATAAACCTTTAGGTGCCTAATCTGCCCGCTAAACTCTTTTTGTCCTAGTGTCATATATTTTGTTTTTAGTTGATTAATTTTCAAACCTGTTTCTTTAGCTAACTTTTCTAACGGTTTTATCGCATCAACTAGATTCTGCCTTGTTCTGGCTAGGATCACAATAACATATGCGATTCCTTGGTTGAATATGGTATCTCTGGTTCTCAAACCACTTTTCCTAACCACTGTTTCCATTAGTATGTTAAATTATGATGTCGACTTGTCTTGTCGCCTTGTCTTAACCCAGTCATTACCCGGAACTTTACTGAGGTTTTTCCTTATATCATTACCTTATAGTTCGTTTCTGTTAGAGACATTTTTGTTAAATTAGCAATTTTATTTTGATACTCTCCATTCCGCCACCGATTTATACAAATTTGTTTAATATATATATATATATATATATATATATATATATATATATATATATATATATATATATACCGATTTATACAAATTTGTTTAATTATATATATATATATATATATATATATATATATATATATATATATATATATATATATATATATATACCGATTTATACAAATTTGTTTAATTATATATATATATATATATATATATATATATATATATATATATATATATATATATATATATATATATATATATATATATATATATATATATATATATATATAACACTGGGAGGATCTCGGCGGTGCGTGCGGTATTTATACTCTGCGCCGGAGATGGTAACGGTGCTGCTTGTGCGTGGGGGGAGGTGGCTCCGCCCCCTGAATTGTCGCGTTGTTAATTTCGCCCGATCGTAGTTGCGATGTCCCCGTTGGCTGCTGCGCATCGCTCTGCTGTTTGATTATCGTTCTCCACGTGTTGGATAAATGCAGAGCGTCGTCTCTCGTATTGAGGTGTCCGGACTTTTCTATTTCGATGGCCTCTCGTATAATCCTATTCCTAAAATCAGGAATATTAGCTATTTGTTTGCAAGTGCCTTGTTTTGTCGAAGACAGGTACTAATTTTCTTCAATTCTTTATCTCTGTTCCTTTCGTTTGTGAGCCTAGCTTTCCTGCATATATATATATATATATATATATATATATATATATATATATATATATATATATATATATATATATATATATATGCAGGAAAGCTAGGCTTAACAATAAATAGTCACTAGTTAATGAGCATCTATATCTTTTATTGCTCCCTCTATATTAGTCAATACTGGGCGATCCCGTAGTTATTTTGTAAAACATATATACCCTGTCATTAATTTAATTAAAAAACGAAATGCAATAATTGTTACATTTTGCGGCGTTTTGTTTTGTCTCGACGTTGGTGCCGTCCTGCGGAATTAAATCCCCCGGATCACGAAAATTCCCCCGTTACCTGAAATAGCGAAAACGGCAGTAAACGATTTAATGGGGGCGGGCGTCAGTCTACGGCAAAAAGCCAACCAGACGTCGAAATATACACGTTTAAAAGGACGTTAGCGTCGCGACGGTCCCGCGGCCGAGGTATCATTAAGACGAATGGCGTGCGGTAACCCAAAATCACGGAACGGAATATTCACGATCTCGCAATCTAAACATCAATACTCTACTTATTCGTTCGACTGGGCCGTACAAGAGGCTAGTTAGATAAAAATAAAGTGCATAATGGCGGACCAGCGACCGGTTATTTGTGGCCAAGCTCAGAGCCCCTAATACGGGCACCGCATTTTTCTACACGCACAACTTTACTTACCGGTTTATGATTATAAAGCTTTTATTTCGAAATAAACCGGATAATTGCCGCTGCGCGCCACTGATTTTACCTTAGAGTCGCTATTTTTTAATTTTAGGGAACTGATATATCCAAATACTGGGCATGTTTCCCAAAGAGGTTAAAATGTAATCTTAAAAAATCATTAGAGGGGTCGATGAAGGTAAATGCACTGTGTTGGTTCTACTCGATTATTCTAAGGCTTTTGATACCATTAGCCACAATATTCTGCTCGCCATTCTTAAATAATTAGCTTTTGGGGAGGCATCCGCAAATTTAATTAAATCTCCTTAACAGGGAAAAAGCAAAAGGTGGTCCTGAACGGGGTCGGGTCTGCTTGCCTAAACATAAGAAGGCTGAATTTTAGCTCATGTTTTGTTTATTATTTTCACAACAAAATTCTTAGATTTTCTCGAGTACTGCAAAGGAAAATTATATGCTGATGACAAGCAGTTCTACCATGTTTTTGACCACCCCTCTCCGTTGCAGCTTGAGTGCCAAAATATAAACAGTGACCTTGAACGAATTGACAGAATTTTCAGAGATTACATTTTTCCGTTCAAACCCAAAAAAATATCTTCTGT